AAAGCAACGACGGTACAAACAGCCCCCTTCCTTGGAGAATCCTCTCAAGATCTGCAAGATTTGCACACCCAGCTTCCTTTGCCAAGTGAACAAATATTACATGGTCCATGTGTCTGCTGTGAATAAAAGGAAGCTCAGTGAATAAATAAGAAAGGTAGCAGATGTGTACCTGGAATGGTTTGCTTTAACGGCAGACTCTGTTGCTGAGACACGGGCAAGCTGGTCTGTACAGATTGAAGAATGATGGTTTTTGCTGGGCTGGTGGTTGGAGCAGTGGTCAGTGTTGTCACAACAACTGGTTTTGGCTGGATGTTTGGCTTGTTGCACATGATGCTATTGGCCTTTGCAGTAGTTTGAACTGGAGCGACGGAGAAACAAAAGTGAAGTCACAGAAAACATCAGACCTCCTGCACTGCTAATTAGACTGCAAAAATTAATACCACATTCTCCAATTGGACCACAAATTCTAAAACCCAACACCCAGCTCCATTACTACACCCGACTGCAACGGTCAGGAATTTCGCTCAAAATATTCTCTTTTGTGGAGGATTAGACCAAGCCTCACTACACCCCTAGCATGATGAAAGCAGCAAATAGCACCAAGTTACAAGGAGAATGTAAGTAGTGCATGGTACAGTGGGTTACTGACACTGGTCTTCCACTCCTTGGCCCTGTGCTCAAACAACAGTCAGAATGATTCCTATGAAAGACTCCTATGCCTGAAGGGTCAGTCTGTCTCAATCAGTTTGGATGGCAGCATGAAACAACTCTCAATTCAGCACCAACTGGTGCATCATTAGGGCGTTTGTCTCAAGCAGAGGCTGAGGCACGTTCTTGAGGACCAAAAGAAGGAACCTAACACTACTTCAGAGCAATGTTTTCTCTGCTTGATTAATCAGACATTAGCAATGATTCATTTAGTTCAATTGTATATCTTAGTGTTTTAGGTTCCACAGGAACCTCCTCCCACTTTCCTCTATCCAACAATCCCTTCTGCTTCTTTCTCCCTTATCTACTTAGAGCTTCTTCTGAAACATATCCATGCTTTTGTCCTCAACTACTCCTGGGTTTCAACCACACTCTGGGTGAAAAAATGTTTCTTCTGAATGATCAAAACAGATATTTGTGGTTTCAGATTCAGAATCAGATTCTGAAGTCATGTTCATTTTGCTTCCAGCAAGTAGGAAGGTCCCTTGTCTATTCTCTTGAAGCCCTTGGTAATTTTGAAGATTTCAGGTCACCAATAATATCTACCCACACCCTATCCCTATCCCCATCCCCATCCCCATCCCCATCCTTCTTGCTCTGAATGAGAAGATCACTTTCCTAATAATTATAACCTCAGGTCTAATCTCATTCTGGTAGATCATTTTTGTACTCTTAGTGACTCGGCACACTTTTCAATAAAACGGAGAGCAAACAGTTCACAGGCCTGCAGTGTGATCTCACTATGGTTCCTGGATACATGATAACAAATTCTATTCCTTAACAACTCCATGGATTTCTCCAATATGAACTGAGGTGGTTCAGCACTTTTTGTTTCCCTACAGAAGTGACCATTTATCACTTGGCAGGCAAACCTCAGTGGAAGTGTAATAAAATTCTCCGTGTAGCATTAATATAGTGTGGAGCTGGAGGAACACAGCAGGTCAGGCAGCAGAGGAGCAGGAAAGTCATTGAGTCCTGATGAAGGGTGTAAACCCGAAACATCAACTTTCTTCCTCCTCTGATGATGTCTGACCTGCTGTGTTCCTCCAGCTTCACACGGTATTGACTGTAACTACAGCAAATGCAGACCTTACTATTGCCTATTCTCTGTGTAGCATGTAGGTTAAGCACGAGACATAACTGGTTCCATTTGCCAACCTGGAGACTGCAACTGTCAGGAATTTCACTCAAAATATTCTCTCTTTCGGAGGATTAGACCAAGCCTCGCTCTCAAAACATCACTGTATTTTTGGAAAAGGTTACATTTTATCAATTAAAGAATGCCATTTACTTGCTGGTCCTTGTTTGACTGGCGAGGTCCCATTTTCCTTTTTCACCACACTGAGCTGGACAGTGTTCAGTGGTGGGTTGAGAACATCCCCAAATACACAGGGTGGTGTAGGAGGATCCTCAGTTTTCACAACCGGAAGAGTTGGTTCCGTGTTTACAGTCTGATGAGGCTTCGCATTGGAAAAGAAAAGGAAACAGTGTCTTGACACGACTGGTACAATTTGACACAAATAGCTTGTTTCTCATTCTTCTCAAAGACCCGACTCCATGCCCATACATTAGCTTTCCCTGGATGATGAGGGGTTGGGCATCTCGGACCCTGGCCACTCCTAAAGGCACTCCTAAAGCGAGCGATTTTGGCTAGTGTATAGAGAGATGTAGGTGTTTGGGTAATTCCCCAATTAAGACCACACTATAAGTGACTGGGAATTATATTACTCAATCTGTATCCATCACTCCTTCCCCACATTTACATTCTAGACTGCCCTTCAATCACTTTTACTGTACACTTTCTACCACACTGTACTTTGCTGTACTTTTAGTCACAGATCTGATGAGCTGCAGCTCAAAGATAAAATAAGACTCTGCAGACTAACTGCTGTTGTGCACTGTTTGAATAGACCTGTGAAATCTGCTGTAAATCCTGCCTCTAGCTCTGTCATTGATAAAGTGGTGTCAATAGACTCTTTGGATTTTCATTTCTGATCCAGATATGCATTTTGTGCCAATGCTGTTGCACCTATCACATAGGCCAGAGGACCGCTAAGCAACATTGTAAGATATTGCTCTCTCTTTCACCTCAGCCCAAATGTTTGAGGGGAGGTGGGGGGGATATGCTGAATTAATTTTTGCTCCCTCTGGATGAGGCAAGAGCGCAAGAGGATGCAAGAGAGAAAAAAAAAAAGAGAGAAAGGGCTCAAAGGCAGGGTTACCATAGTAACCATGTCACCAGCTGTCCAGAGGCAGGAGTGGTTAACAGGAAAGGTTTGCTCCACAGTGATGAACGCTTGACAAAGGTGCCCTTCATATTCCATTTTAGAAAGACAGATCTGCAATTACCAGCAGTCTGTGGAAGAGCATCAAATGGGAAGGTGATCTCAAGTGATCCTTCTATTGGTCAGTGAGAACTTCTGGAATTATAGACCACAGGATGAGGCCCTTTGGCCCATAAGGTCTGCAGCAGATTTTTGGTATAGGTCACTAATTCATCCTTCTCCCCTTGCTCTTTTCCCATAGCCCGCAAATTTTTTTCCTCCATGTCTACATCTAATTCCCTTTGGGGAAAGGAAGGTTCAGCCATGTTCTCCAATTGGATGCATGTCTGGAGGACTTTCTGATTTGAAAGAGGAGCAATTATTCATCTTCAGAGAAGCTCGCGCTGAGCTTTTGAAGGACAATGTGTATACAGAGGTTTCAGAAACAAAGGAGGATGGATGGAAAGAAAGTAATCTCAACAAATTTCCTTTCCATTATCTCAAACGCACATTAAATATGACAATCGATTCAAGATGGCATTAACTAGGTAGTGTACAAACCTATTTGCTCACCTGAGGAAAAAGGGGCATGTCACACGAGGAAGCAAGTGAAGAATCTGAGCAGCGTGAGGATCCCGGTGAAAGTGGTTCCAACTTCACTCGCAGGTCTGCGGCAGAAAGCACAGTTTAGCTTTAATGAGGAAGGATCACCGGACCCAAAACGTTAACTCGGATTTTTCCTTCACAGATGCCGCCAGACCTGCTGAGCTTTTCCATTTTGTTTTTGTTCTAGCTTTAATTAATACTAACATTGACTTGAGTCATTTAAGCAAACATTTGGTTACAGCAACATGTACCCACGCAATTCCTACTGACAAAGCCCACACCTCAAGTGTTAGCTCAGATGATGTCGGAAGAGGCACAGGATCAGCAGCATTCCTGAGAGGTGTGGACAGGCAGCTGCGGTTAAGTTATCTACTCCAGTCTCTGCAAACATACAACTTCACATGACTTCACAAACAGATTCTAAAACACCCACAGCATTTAAAGCTGTCCCCTAACCCCCAATCTGTTGAGGGCACTATATGAATGCAAGCTGCTGCTTTTCTAGGTGGTCTTTTCACTAACTGCTGCAGGCCTTTGCATACTGACTGCATGCTCTGCATTACATCAGCAGAGGTCGTGACATGGGGCATGAATGACTAATTGGAATTAAGAATGCACCACATAGAACATAGAACATTACAGCGCAGTACAGGCCCTTCGGCCCTCAATGTTGCACCGACCTGTGAAACCAATCTGAAGCCCATCTAACCTACACGATTCCATTAGCATCCATATGTTTATCCAATGACCATTTAAATGCCCTTAAAGTTGGCAAGTCTACTACTGTTGCAGGCAGGGCATTCCACGCCCTTACTACTCTCTGAGTAAAGAACCTACCTTTGACATCTGTCCTATATCTATCACCCCTCAATTTAAAGCTATCTCCCCACGTGCTAGCCATCACTATCCGAGGAAAAAGGCTCTTGCTGTCCACCCTATCTAATCCTCTGATCATCTTGTATATCTCTATTAAGTCACCTCTTAACCTTCTTCTCTCTAACGAAAACAGCCTCAAGTCCCTCAGCCTTTCCTCATAAGACCTTCCCTCCTACCAGGCAACATCCTGGTAAATCTCCTCTGCACCCTTTCCAATGCTTCCACATCCTTCCTATAATGCGGCAACCAGAATTGTACGCAATACTCCAAGTGCGGCCGCACCGGAGTTTTGTATAGCTGCAACATGACCTCATGGCTCTGAAACTAAATCCCTCTACCAATAAAACCTAACACATCGTACGCCTTCTTAACAACACTATCAACCTGGGTGGCAACTTTCAGGGATCGATGCATGTGGACACCAAGATCTCTCTGCTCATCCACACTACCAAGAATCTTACCATTAGCTCAGTACTCTGCATTCCTGTTACTCCTTCCAAAGTGAATCACCTCACACTTTTCCGTATTAAACTCCATTTGCCACCTCTCAGCCCAGCTCTGCAGCTTATCTATGTCCCTCTGTAACCTGCAACATCCTTCCGCACTATCCACAACTCACCGACTTTAGTGTCATCCGCAAATTTACTAACCCATCCTTTTAAGCCCTCATCCAGGTCATTTATAAAAATGACAAACAGCAGTGGCCCCAAAACAGATCCTTGCGGTACACCACTAGTAAGTGAACTCCAGGATGAACATTTCCCATCAACCACCACCCTCTGTCTTCTTACAGCTAGCCAATTTCTGATCCAAACCGCTAAATCACCCTCAATCCCATGCCTCCGTATTTTCTGCAATAGCCTACTGTGGGGAACCTTATCAAACGCTTTACTGAAATCCATATACACCACATCAACCGCTTTACCCTCGTCCAACTGTTTGATCACCTTCTCAAAAGAACTCAATAAGGTTTGTGAGGCATGACCTACCCTTCACAAAACCATGTTGACTATTCTTAATCAAATTATTCCTTTCTAGATGATTATAAATCCTCTCTCTTATAATCCTTTCCAACACTACCCACAACCGAAGCAAGGCTCACTGGTCTACAACTACCAGGGTTGTCTCTACTCCCCTTCTTGAACAAGGGGACAACATTTGCTATTCTCCAGTCTTCTGGCACTATTCCTGTAGACAATGACGACATAAAGATCAAAGCCAAAGGCTCTGCAATCTCCTCCCTAGCTTCCCAGAGAATCCTAGGATAAATCCCATCCGGCCCAGGGGACTTATCTATTTTCACACTTTCCAGAATTGCTAACACCTCCTCCTTATGAACCTCAATCCCGTCTAGTCTAATAGCCTGTATCTCAGTATTCTCCTCGACTACATTGTCTTTTTCCTGTGTGAATACTGATGAAAAATATTCGTTTAGCGCCTCTCCTATCTCTTTGGACTCCACGCACAACTTCCCACTACTGTCCTTGACTGGCCCTAATCTTACTCTCGTCATTCTTTTATTCCTGACATACATATAGAAAGCTTTAGCGTTTTCCTTGATCCTACCTGCTAAAGACTTCTCATGTCCCCTCCTGGCTCTTCTTAGGTCTCTCTTTAGGTCCTTCCTGGCTAACTTGTAATGTTTTATGGAAACTGGTTACACCCAAGCGCAAGCAATATTTTGAAAATTTGGAAATGAAGTGGCAATTACATTTGCCAGAATAGGTTAAGCTTTGGGAGAGAGCACTGTTAAATCAAAGGCCAATTGAAGTTACAAGATGCATAAGAGCAGCACATCCAGAAAGTGATCATCTTGAGATAACAAAGGTGTAGAGCTGGATGAACACAGCAGGCCAAGCAGCAAGAGGAGCAGGAAAGCTGACGTTTCAGTCTAGACCCTTCTTCAGAAATGGGGGAGGGGAAGGGGATTCTGAAATTAATAGGGAGAGAGGGGGAGGCGGATAGAAGATAGATAAAGGAGAAGATAGTGCCTGCTGTGTTCATCCAGCTCTACACCTTGTTATCTCAGATTCTCCAGCATCGGCAGTTCCTACTATCTCAGCGATCATTTTGAGTTTTTTTAATGATGGAAGAGCCAGCACACAGACTGGAGAAAGTAGCCACACATAAACGTTCAAAATACCTACCAGTTTTAGGCATTAATTCTATGATATGCAGTTTTATGAAAGTTTCTAACAAAAGGAAAGCATAGAGACTTACATAGAAACATCTGAATTTGTGCAGGCATAGGCCATTCAGCCCCTCAAGCCAGGTCTGCCATTCAGTAAGGTTATGGCTGATCCAATGGCAGCTGGTGGCCTTAGCTGCATTTGCTGCTTGTCACCACCCCACCTCCCGAATAACCCTCAACTCTATTCTATGTCAGCTGCTATCTCACTCGTCTCGGAATCAAAATGCTCTTGGTTCAAGTTCAACTCAAACTCTGGAGTTTGAGCATAAAAATCAAGACCAATATTCCAAAGTAGTATTGCACAGTCGGGAGTGACCTCCTTTGAACATTAAACTGATGTTTCACTTGCTTGGTCAAGTGATCTCATGGCACCATTTTGAAGAACTGGAGTTTTGCCCTGATGACCCAGTAAATATTTCTCACTTAATCAAAATCACAAAAAAAAACCCAAAACAGACTGTTTTCGTTAGGCATTGCTGTTTGTGGCCGTTTGCAGAGTGCAAGCTAGTTGCCATAATTCCAATATTGCACTTCAAAATGACTTTAGCGCCTCTAAAGACATTTGACATGTCTGGTGGCTGCAAAAGGTGCAACCTAAATGCACTTTTTTCTTATTTGTAGATATAAAACCTGACTAAGTCAGTCTTGAACATTTCACCTAAGAATACTCCCCATTCACAGAGCTTCTCGCAACACTTCAGAGGTCAGGGCAATAAGTACAGCTTGCAGTGCACTGTTTGGTCAACATCTATTTACGTGCAGCCAGGTATCATAGCAACAGTCAAACAGGTAACCCGCTCTGGGTGACCAGATGGCAGGAATAATGATGTCCTAGATACCGAAAGCTGTATTAATTTGCTCTTCTTTCAAACATGCTGGCATGCCAAATGCCATTACGCCCCGGCAGAGCCCAGGAATGACAGTCTAGCCGGAGGTTGGGAGTGGATCTTGAACCCTCATCCTCCCGACAGAGTCGAGGACGTCATACCAATTATTACCACTGAGTAAAATCTTGCCTCAAGTATATAATCCAATGACTCACCTTTTGTACAGGAAGGTGACTGCTCCAATTCCTTGGTTCAAGTTTAACTACAAGTGATTACCTGAATAAATGTCTCCATTGATCTGACTCCAAGGTAAGTCTGATGTTTCAATGTCCATATTCAAATTCAAATCCAAATCCAAATCCAAACTTGTGTTGAACTGAAAAGTAAATGTAAATATAAGGTGGTCAACATCACAAGAATTGATGAACCAGGTGCTATTAAAGATGATTTGTTTATATATTATCTGTCAGGCCCTCCAGACTCAGCAAAAGGTGCTTGAGTGTCATCAGGCTGCATTAGAAGTGCCAGAAATGTCAGCTGACATGCCTGCACACCAAGATCCTATTATTAAGATGACTTTGATTAAGATGAGACACAAATGCAGGCCAAATTGCCCCCAGAGCTCCCTCTCTCGTCTTCAAATAGTGCTGCTACATCTTCTAAATACATTTGAATGAGACAGACTTCGTTAAATTGCCACACAAAAGACAGCACCTTTGGCAATACAGCACCCTCCCAGTGTTACACTCAAGTGTCAGTCTCAGGCAGGGGACTTCACTAACCGGTACAGTGCTCAAAATCTGGACTGTAACTTGTGTTCTGCATGTGCAGCAAGTAGCCACATCTTCCCTGGACAACCCTCAAGGGCTGACAAGGTTTTTACTGGAAGGTTGAACCTGGGACTTTCAGTTACCAGGCTGTGTTTTATGCTCGCAGGCTACCAGGTGGAGAGAGAGAGAAAAAGGAGAGACTGCTTACAGAGAATCCCTACGGCATGGAAGCAGAACCCCTGCAACACCCCCCGCCTCCAAACCTTTAACTGTCAACTGGGAGGCAACCTTCACATGGTCCTCCTGGTAAAGTTAGCACCCGGACTTGAAAACCTGCAAATTAATGCTGTCGACGTGACTGAAGCCTGGCCACTAGATTCCCGGCCTGGAGGAGGAGAGTGCACAGGATATCAAAACCAGGGGACATATTCCTTCTTGACTTTCATGGTTTCACCATGGCATCTTGAGTTTATACATTGCCCTCGGATAGGTCTCCAATTGGTTCACAAGTTTGTGTGTGCGGCTCTCTTAAGATGGAAAGCAGCCAAGCTGCAGAAAAGACAAAGCATTCTTGAACTTAAGTACTGGTACCTCAGTGACGTTATCAAAGCAGCGAAAGAGATCAGTAGAATCATCCATCTCCTCCATTGTTTCACAGTCATACAGACAGGCATCTGAAAAAAAGAAAATGACTTTGATTATTAACGTTTCCATTCCTCAAGTTAAATCTTCATCCTGCACACACAGACCCTTATAGCCTCACCCATCGTCTCCTTGTAATCCTTCTCCAACCTTAGGCTCCAACTTGATTTTTCCACCCTAGCTATTCCTTACACTGCACAAAGAATCAGAAAAATACCTTATTCAGCCCATTCAACTTTTGCCAGCTATTTAAAGGCTGCCAACAACAAAGACCCATCACACCCCGGTAACGATCTCCTACAACCTTTTTCCTCAGGCAGAAAATAGAGAAGCCTGAACACACACACGAGCAGGTTCAGGAACCGCTTCTTCCCAGCTGTTATCAGACTAATCAATGGACTCTCTAGCCTCAAACAATGCTGATCCTGCTAACGTTGATCATTCCTAGCACGATGTAACCTTTATGCCTCTGTCTGCATCTTTTTGATCTGTACATTCTTTGTTTACTATGATCTGCCTGTACAGCTCATAAACAAAGCTTTTCACTGTACTTCAGTACACATGACAATGAAAAAATCAATCCAATCAGTAGCACCCCGCTGGTTTTGCTCAAAAAAGAACTGATATAATGAAATTTGTTATCGAATATCAGAGTTTTCGGACAATGCATTGCAGATCACAACTCAGTTTGCACTTAGCTCTCTCTGGATCATTTCCTGAAGACCCTCCTGCCACTGGAAACAGTTTCTCCTTATTTAGTTGCATCAACACACATGATAAAAGCTTTCAGGTAGCACATGGCGGAAATTTCCATCTTTACAAAATCTTCTTCAAATCATCTTCCAACTCAACTTCCAACTTCCTCATCCTTCAAGGCAAACCATTTTTACATTTCGTAAGATAAGAATTCAATAGAAATGAAAGAGAATGAGAGTGTTGCATTTTTCACCTTCCAGAATTTGAAGTGTGCAAGACACGAGGAACTGAAATGGATCTATGCTTACAGGCTGCACACAGTAAACGAAGTCAGTTTGCACAAGCTGTCATCTATCCAACCATAGTCACAAACATGCTTACATGGAGCAAGAGAAGCAGAGAGTTTTTCTGAGGTTCTGCCAAATACTGAGCAGTGTGCAAGAAAAATCTGTCATCAATTTATCAGCCAAACTGTGCTCGAAACCAACAGTAGTCCACTCTCAACCCAGACACAAAACGTATGATAAGGCTATGGACTGGTTACTCAAGTTTTGACGGTCTGCTGAAGTCATATTCAACCAATCCCTGACAAGACTTCACCTCACAGCCACAGAGTCATTTAACAATTGTCGTAGATCGAGCTGGCCGAGGTGGACCACAGCGCACATGCTCCATCTTACGATGACCGTTATGGTACCTTATTCTAGCCAGTAAGGGGCAGTAGTGAGCTAGGTAACTACTTCTAGAACAACCAAACATACAACTTTTGACTCCTACAATGGATAAATTCTGCTGGTTTTATATGAGTGTTTGATCCAGCTTAACTATTCATTACCTGTAGGAACAGGAACAGGAGGAAGCCATTCAGCCCCTCAAGCCTGTCCTGTATTCAATGAGATCATGGCTGACCTGTGGCCTAAACCCATTTATCACCTTTGCCCTGTATCCCTTAATACACTTGGCTCAAAAAACCTGGCAATCACAGCTTTCAAATTAACAGTTGCTATTTGTGGGAAAGAAATCCATACTCCTACCAGGAGACAGGAAGAACTGCCAATGTTGGAGTCAGAGATAACAGAGGTTCTTCCTGTCTCCTGG